ATAGGGTCGGGGAGTTGAGCACACTGAGGTGATAAACTTAGTGTGGTGATGGGTGGACAGTTTGAGCCGTGGGACAACAGAGTCCAGGGTGAGCTGGACATGAGCGTGTGCTGGCAGCCAGGTGCAATGACGCAAGGTGAACTAGGAAAGGGCATCATGTGGAGAGGGCCAGGGAACATGTAGGCTGAGGAGGAGAATGGGATATATCAGGTGGAATAAAGAATAATGTGAGTTTTGGGACACTGAGGGGCTGGCCGGAGAGCACCCTAAAAACGGTGATGTGGGGGTAAGGTCGGCTGTCATATGAGTCTCCAAGGGCTTGGCTGGGTTGAAGAAATAAGCAGTGGTATGACAAGTATGGCCTAGGGAACAGGGAAGGCTGAGGGCAGGTGGCATAGGTGAGGGGTAGTGGTCACTGGGGAGGGGGTGGCTGGCAAGAAGGTAGACTGTGATGAGCTGGGAAACAGGGAGGACTGTGGCACATACAGCCACAGTTTAGGATGTGCTGGGAAGCAGGGCATGTTGGGTGGAATAAGGCCAGGGTGGTAAGTGGCAGTCCGGCATGCCAAGAAAGGTAGGCACAGGATGAAGTCCAGGCTCAAAGCCAAGGAGCAGCAGGCTCAGGGAAGGCGAGAAAAGGAGGAGTACAAAAAATGTACTAGGTGAGGGCTAGACAGATGGCTCAGTGGTTAAGAGCACTGTATGTCCTTCCTAAAGGACAAGGGTTCAATTCCCAGCACCCACATGGTAGCTCACAACTGTCTGTAACTCCAGTTCCAAGGGATATGACACTTTCACACTAATGCACATAAGATAAAATTAAATAAGTTATTTTTAAAAATGTACTAGGTGAACTTGGAGTGGGCTGGGGAATGGGGTATAGATAGGGTATAGTCAGTGGATCGTGGGGAGATGGGCAACGTGCTAAGCCAGAGATAGGAAGACCAGGGCTATGTGGTGGAACAGGCAGTAGGGCTAGGTGAAGAGGCTTCTGATGAAGGTACACTGGTATAGGAGGCAGCGAGGTACCTGCCTCGCTGTACCAGGGGCGTCTAGAACGTTATCACACAGGGCTGTTCCTCCAAGCGAAGCAGTCCAACAGCTGCTGTCCACCCAGGAGGCTGAGAGCAGGATGTGCATTCTAGCCTAGCGACCTCTGCACTGAGGCCCTCATCCTCATAAGCCTGTCTCTCTGGATAGTGTCATGTGCACTTTCTTCCCCTCCCAGTTTTCAGAGACAGGGTCTCTCTGTGTAGCCTGGGCTGTCCTGGAACTCACTCAGGACAGATCAGGCTGGCCTTGAACTCAGAGAGCCACCTGTCTCTGCCTCCTGAGTGCCGCGCCTGGCTTGTGTCACAGGTACTTTACGAAGTGCTTTGATGTAGTCACATGTGGTCTTTATTCAGCTTACTTTGTTCCTCGAAGAGATTTATGTGTGCTTTATTGTTTATGGGATTGAGTTATTTTGTCACCAGAAAAGTTTTCACCAAATTGTGCAGTGCTTAAATGTGCCTAAAATAAACAACTTGGGGTCAGAATCCAGAAGTTTAAACCAACACCAGCTCCTTAGTTGTGTTGAAAAGAACTGTTTTCTTGCCTCCAGCGGCTGTTACTTTGCTGGCTGTGGTGGTCTCAGAGATCCCCACACACTGGTAATGGCAAAGGCTTACAGGCAGGTGGCCACTGGGGTGAGTGGTGGCATGATGAGTTTGCAGGCTGACCAGAGGCAGAGGCAGATAGGGCCAATGGGTTTGCAGGAAAGGCTGGCAAACGGTCTAGCAAACGGTGGTGATTTACAGAGTAGGAAATCCTGGGCACACTAGAGTGTGTTAAGGACTAGGGCAGGCTTCATAGACAAGACTGGGGTGGGGACTGTCACACTGGGGTTACCATGCCCTGCGGAACAGGGCACCTCTGGGTATAGCAGGTCACCCTTGTCTTTTCTCATAGGAGGACCGTCTGTCTTGTTATCCTACCCATCACTAGTGTCTCTGAGTCGAACTTACTGAAGAAGGCTGCAAGAACAGGAAGACTCAACGGAGCCTTCTGGTGCTGCCTTGAACGAAAAAGCCCTGTACAAGGTCACATTCGTGTTGTGAGGGAAAAAACAAAACAACAAAAAACAGTGAGGAGTACCTTGAAATTCATCTACAGAAACCATAGAAAATTAATGGCATGAAAAAAGGGAAAGTGAGTATTCAAGAATGACACACCTCATAAATCATATCTGGCATTCGGCATGTCCACATATGTGTTCCTGCCTTGGTCACTAGTATGTGGCTCTGTGGGAAAGTCGAGGCCTGGGAGAAAAAAGTTAGGAGGTTGCGATGTACCTTGAGAGGGGGATGAGGCTCTTGGTCCCTGGTTGTCTGGCTTTCCTTTCTGTCTGTGACAAGAAAGGCCACTGCTACGACCATACACTAGCACCGTGACATTCCCAAAGCACCACAACAATCTGACCGGAAATAAACTGTCTAAAAGCACGAGCTCCCAAAGCTTTTCTTACCTTTATCTTAGGTGTTTTATCGCAGAACAAAGACTAACATACAGTGATGGACCCCATCTATATCATCATGACACTATTTTGAATACACAGGTCTGTTCATCAAGAGAATGTAGCACCAGAGCCTCAGCCCAAACTCATAAGAGAACTTACCAAGGCCCAGAGGCATACAGCATTACTGCCTGGCAAAAGAGGTGAGAAACAAGGAAAATAAGACACATTCCAACTTGAACAAACCATAAGTTCTTTGTTAGAACAGGTTATCGAACTCTGAGGAGAAATGCTGCTTGGATAACATGATGGTTTGGGATGTTCCCAGTTACATAGAGTGTACAATGGCCAATCACTGAGGGTCCTCACCCAAGCTCCTCTCTAAGGCTTTGACACTCCTGGGTTGCATTCTGTCATCAAGGACCCTGAGACTCACCCTCAGAGCTTACCAACAGCCAGCCCCTCCTGAGGGAATGGCGAAATTCCAGTGCAATTGTTTATATGGTGTTGTAAGCAGTGATTAATATTTACTATTGGTTTATCTTCTAGTAAAGCTTGCTGCTCATCTTAAACAGCTGTATAACCAAATCACCGCACAGAAACTGGGTTTTTAGTTAACCTAGAACACAATGCTGGGCAATATTTACTCCCTCCTAAACCTCCAAGCCCTCAGTTTCCTAACATTTAGATTTCCCACATTATACTTGCTTTTTGTGAAATCTTAGGTCTGGTTCATGTTCCACATCCTCCAAGATCTCTCCTTCAGCTCTGCTCCTAGCTCTGCTCTCGCCCTTCTCCTCCTTCTCCTCCCACTCCTCTCCCGCCTTCTGGCTCCTCCCCTCTTTCCTGTCCTGTGGCTCCTCCCTGCTCAACATTGTGTCCAGTTGTTTTATTTTGTTCCTGTTTACACAAGAGTTGAGACAGGATGCTTAGAATGAGTATCACAATGCAATATCCGGATTGAAACCAGAGAGTTGGGAGTGGTGTGGGGGAGAAATCACCATTTAAATGAACAAGGGTAAGGTGTATACATTAAAAAAAAAAAAATTATACCAACAATATGGCCAGGGACATATCAAAGGTATAGTACAAAGTAACAGAGTCAAAAATAATGATGCAACTGAAACAGAAGGAGGGAGGAAAGATGATTCTTAGACATGAAATTAGCACTCTGATTTGTCAAATGATCTGTGTGTATTTAGAACATAAACAAAAGTCTTAACACAATTATGTTTTCACGAACTGCAGAAAAAATACATGATATATAGTTATATCGTAAAATAAATGATTTAACAAAACATACATTATTTAACAAAAATATATGATTTAACATTATTTAATATTTATACCAGTTGTATGAACCAACTCTGCCCCTCTTACTTAAAGACATTCAAAGCTGACTCAAACAGAAACGTTTAGTACTTGACATTCACGAGGATAAAGACATATAACAGGCGGAGGCGATAACCATTCTGTAGATGGTGAAAGGGTTAGACTAACTTTGTAACCTATATGTCTTCTAAAGCCTATAGTTTTGAGTTTTAGGTTCAGGTTAAGCTAAAGACTCTTAGTACCTTTCCAGAGAATGGAGGAATGTGACCCTATCTGTGAGGACAGATATAAAAAAAGCAAGCAAGCAATGACCTTCACTCAGCAAAAAGAACGACCAGACCCTTGTCTTCAAGACAGTGTTTCTTAGAAACGAACCCAGATGGCCTCAATCCTTCTTCTGAGTAGCTCCTGACCTCCAGCCAAAAGCCAGCCCTAATCTTCAAGGATGAGCTAACCACCCCCACCTTCAATTGCAGCTGCATCCACATTTGGCAGGACTGGCCAAGCTTGAGCACCTAAGAGTAACCAATTATCTTACTTTATAGCTTCCTCATCCAATCCTAAATTGCCAAAACTGCAACTTCAAATTTCCCGCAATTTTTCTTTTAAAAACCTAAAGCCTTTGTCTCCAGGGGCCACTCTTTGCTGACCGGCAGGGGTGACCCCATTGTGCAATGGTTAATAAACCTCTTGCTTTTTCAATGAGTCGTGGTCTGGGGGAGTTTCTGGGAAGGGCGCGATCTTGAACTAACTCCTGAGCTGTGAGACCCCAGGTCTTACAATGGCACATATATGAAAGAATCCCAGTCAGACTGTGAATGTTTAGGCAAAGCAACATTCCAGGCCTCATGTGGTACCAGAACTGGTGGGGTCCAAATCAAGTTCTCCAAACAGCAAGGGGACTGGGTTACAGTCTGAGTTGCTGATGGGACAAACAGAAAGTTCTCCTGAGGAATATGGTGTGAAGAAAGAGCAGGTGGAAACAAGGAGCAGCAGGGTTGGGCAGAGGGCTCTGAGGTGCTCCTTGGGGTGGGGAAGGGCTGAAGACACACCCTCATCCCCACCCTCAGAAACCCTTGTGACACTGCCCTGCTCTGTGATGCAGGCTGGGGACTCTAGTTGAGCTCATGAACCCTCAGGATCAGTCACCTCAGGCAGCCATGCTGTTTATACTATGGAGAACACACTCTCATCTCTGAATAGCCTTGCTGAGACATGGCTGACCCTTGGCTCGGCTTCCTGTTACATAGACCTCAACTACACCTTTCTGAGTGGACTGGGGCTGCTGCTTCTGTACCTCTGCTACCTGTCCCTGAAACTGGTTTTACAGTCACCATCACCGTGGGAGAAGAAACACACTCCACAGGTAAGGAAGTGTGGTGAGCTCCCAGGAGAGATTCTTCATTGCTGTGCTACACTTTTATTCTCTGGCTATGGGATGAGCCTGGTTGTCAGAAGGATGTCTGAGATGGAACATGGGAGGAGAATGGAGGGGAGGAGAGAAAAGAAGAAGAGGAGAGGGAAGGCAAGAGAGGGAGGAGAGAGGAGTGGAAGGGAAGAAAGGGAAGGAAAGGGGAGGGGAGGGAAAGACGAGAGGGGAGAAGAGGAGAAGAAAAGAGAGTAGAGAAAGGGAGGGGAGGGGAAAAGAAGAGAGGGGAGAGGGGAGGAGAGGAGAGAAAAAGAAGAGAGGGGAGGAGAGGAGAAGAGAAGAGAGGAGGGAGGAAGATAAGCAGGAGGGGTGAGGAGTGAAGGGGAAGGGAGGAAGAGGAGGAAGAGGAAGAGAAGAGCACTGTCCTAGGGTATGAGAGGGATCAGGTTGGACTAAGGTTCCCATCTGGAACCCACAGTCCAGCTTCCTGTGTGTGGCTGAAGTTCCCAGGACAAAGCACAAAACTGGTCCTAGGGGCATGGCTGCAGTCTTTGAGCTTTCGGAGTGAGACCACCCTCTCCTGACACTAGATTCCATGATCCATTCTCACATCACGTGTCCCTTCACCTGCCTCCTTCCATGATGACCTGGTCAGGATCACAGTGCTGAGTGCTTGGTGGCCCCTAATTACAGCCTGGTACACAATCTTTGGCTGCACACACGGCCCTTGTGAGAACTGAGACGTATATGCTGGCTTCCGGTTCCAGGCTATCAAGAAGAGGGCTTTTTGCTGAGACCTCCAAGTGTTGACTTCATCATGTCTCCCTCTAGTTTCCCAAGGAGAAAAACGGAAAAAAAAAAAGAGTGATTATCTTTAAAGTTAATAAATAGCATGAATAAATCTCGCTTATTCGATGGCCCTCAGGATATCCTGGTTAGGAATTCCAAATATATAACAAAGAGAAGCAATACAAACAATTCCCATGTGTCCATTGTATTTCTCTTTTCTTTACAGCCAAAAGGCAGAACTGAGAGCAAAAGAAGGAAAGCAGTTAACGGTAGGTTTCTGCCTGTCAACCTCATCTTCCTGGGGCCCCCCTCATGGCCTTATTATGAGCTTTCAGGTTCATTATCTGAAGATGTCACTCCCGAGACACAGATTCACAGGATCAACCCAAGATACCTGTCTGAGTCCCTTCCCCTTCCCTCCCTCATGCTTGAAACAATGACAGTGTGGAGCAGTGGGCACAGCTCCTGAGGCTCCTGTGAGATGTGCAGGAGGGAGTGACAATGTTGGGCAGTGGCCACAGCACAGTGACACTCGGGACAACACGGGTAGGTAGAGGGATTCGCAAGTGAAACAACACACAAGTGTGAACATTCTGAGTGTTCTCACAGACTGCCTACAGGTTATCCTAAGTGCTTTTGTTTTTAAAAGATTTTAAAAGATTTTCTTTTTAAAAGATTTATATATTTATTTATTACATGTGTATGGGTGTTTTGCCTGCATGTATATCCACACGAAAATGCCTGGTGCCCTCAGAGGTCAGAAGGAGGACATCAGCTGCCCTGTAAGTGGACCGACAGGCGGTTGTGAGCCACCATGTGGGTGCTGAGAACCAAACCCAAGTCCTCTAGAAGAATCTCTAGTGCTTTTAACCACTGAGTTATCTCTCCAGCTCCTTGAACGTTTTCCTTAAAGGTACTCACTCGTGATCCTCCAGTTTCTACTTTCTTTGTGTATTATGCATGTCCCCTTTTCCAGGTGGGAGGACTGGCCAGACAGCCTCTGAGGAAGGGAGCAGGCTGCAGACGACACTGCAGAGGTGATTCATTCCCCTATCTCCCGGTCCTTTTTCCTTGGGTCTCCACCCTGGCCAGCAGGCTTTCTTTTTGACATGCTGGACTTAGGTCATGCTCTGCCTTTGTGTCTCTTTACAGCCTGGACAAATTGCATGATCCCACAGGCCTTCACAAACTACTACATCCAGATCCCCTCTGCCACGTACCTAACAAAGCAAATGCTCAGGCCAGTTGCCTGCTCTCTCAGGCTCCCCTGCAAGTCAAAGCTGTCTTGCTGTCCCATTTGCCTTCTACAGACTTCACGACAGAGACCTCATTGTACCTTTTCTCTCACCTCCCAGCAAAGCAACCAGCACTTCCAGTTCCAGAAGCCCTGCCCCAGCCTTCATCAACTTCCCCGTCCCTCCTCTCACCTCACCAAATCATTCCTCTGGATGGCTTCCCTTCTCCCCCACCACTCAGTGCCTCTCTGTCACCGCAGGCATCTGCTCCCTTAAACCCTGCAGCATTACTGAACCATATCACACTTACCGCTTTTCCTCCTCCACTTCCACATGCCACCCAGGAAGCACACTCTATTAACGAGCAGCCTCTAGACCCCTGTGCTTCTCCAGGCTCAAACCAGAGACCCACAAGGGTCCCCACTGTAGAGACAGGAGATCCTTCCTCTCCCAACCCTGATATCTCGGCACTCTTCAAGAGGCAAGAGAAAAGGGAGACCAACTTCACTGCATCTAAACATGAAAAAGAGAAAGCGGAATTTTTTTCAATGCCACTAAATACGTCAGAGCAAATCTCAGTGTCAATGGCTGGTCCAAAGAACTCAGAAGTCACAAGCCTTTCAAGTAACTGGAAAGACAAGCCAGGGGGTCCTCAGCTATACCAGCAGCCCTCTCCTCCCAAGAATTCTGAAGACCAATCAGAGATCAAAGACATCCAGCTGTTTTGGGGCCCTCCTTCTCTCCACAGTGAGTCCCTGGAACATGAGGATGCTGCCCCAAGAAACAGTTACTCAGAAAGCACCCATTTCAACGGAATGGCGAAGGCCTCCACAGGCAACTCCACCCTTCTTCACCCCACACCTCTGCCCTTGCCTGAGAGTGACCAGCAGGTCTGGCCGCAAGTCTTACCTCAATCTCAGACCAAACCTGACTCTTCTGCCAAGTCTGAGGCCCAGTCTAACCCCGTAATCCAAGTCCTGCCACCTTCTCCTCAGTCCCAGCTTAGGATCTGTGGGGTGCGTTTTCATGGACCCCAAGAGTGGGCACAGCCTCTTGGCCCATCTGAAATTCACCAGCTGGAATTCAACCTATTACAAAAAGCACTGGAAAGTTTTGGGGGGTTACCTACTGTAGCCCAAAGATTCCCAGGAGGCTTCTGTCATCCACCTCTTAAGATCTCAACCCGAAACTCATCCAAGGTTTATGGCCCCAGGTTAATCCTTCCAGGAGACTTCCCCCTCACCACAGAAGTCCGGAGGAAACTAGAACACCATCTTCGAAAGAGACTCATCCAGCACCGGTGGGGCCTGCCATACAGGATCAGCGAGTCCCTGTCACACATGTGTCCTCGGTCAGAGCTTGCTGAGGACGCCGAGCCAGGGAACAGTCATGGACTCTCCTGGATCTCTCTCTATAAGCTCAGTGCCAGCAGGAACCCATCAAGCTTTGCTCTAAGCCGATCTGGAAGCCTCCATAAAAGGCACTTAGATAGTCACGCTCCAAAGGAGGAAGACCTCAAACTTCGTAGACAATGTCTAAGGATAGACCAAAATTATCATCTCCAGAGAAACTCCAATGAGGCTACAAAAGGCAGTGTAGACCCAGGCTCCGAGGCACAGGTACAACTTAAACCAGGAAGTATGTCTAGAAAGATTTCAAAGGCTTCATGGGTCAAGCAGTGCCAGAAAGAATGTGAAACTTTGCTGCAAGAGCATCTGGGCAGCAAAACCAAAGAACCCAGGGAGGGTGAGATCCCTAGCACTGTGGACAAATCACGACGTTCTGTCAGCAAGGCACAGCCTCCACCTGACACAACCCCCAAACAAACGAAAGCTCTGGCGCCATTGGCAGGGGACGAAGACCCACTGAAAACACCCCAGCACAGTTTGGCACTGAGTCCTACCAAAGAAAAGGTGTTGGAAGAACACATTAAGACCTTTGGCAAGAGGATGGCATTTGGTCAGCCCCAAAGGGTTGAATCCTTAGAGTCCTACCTGACAAAAGTACAGCCACCCAGTTCTTTCTCTCAGTTCCACTGTCCCTCACACACCATTTCTGGACTGGATTCTGACAAGTCCTCCAGACTCCTCCAAAGAAACACTAATGGAGACAGAAGGGAGACAGTGAATTTAGCCCCCATCCAAGGAGGGCCTCTCCCTGCTAGCTTGCCTGTGGGCCAGATACATCCAGCCTCTGGGATCAGGAAGGTGTTTGTTGATAAAAAAGCTCCAAGTGGCAGAGAGGCCGTCCAGCCCTGGACACCCAGTATGGTGGACAAAGGCAGCCTGCAACAGTTTGGATCACACAACAGACACCACCCAGAGCCCATGAGCCCAGATGGGCCAACAGATGAGAGACTGACTTCCAGCACCAACACACAGGGGCCTCGGGGAGAAAGGAAGAGCTGGGAAGATGGCTCCATGGCTGAGGGGTCCATGGAGCTACTCAAGAAAGAGGAACTCCCTGGTCTTCACCCACAGGCCACTAAGATCTTGGCAGCCCCCCAAGGCACATGCTCCTCAGGAAGCCATGTGGCCGCATGTGAATCCCTGCAGGAAATGTCAGCTCCCCACAACTCTGAGACATCTGGCAAGAAGGGTCAGGTGTCCAGAGGAGGCCTGTTGAACTCAGAGAGTGGACCACACATCCAGGTGCCAGGCCTGCCTGCCCTGCCCTTTGCCTCAGAAGAAGTGGCTTCCAAAGGCCAGGGGCCCCCCAGTGGGGATTTGGCAGCCCCTCAGGTGATGCATGCTCACCTGCCCACTGTGGGGGTCAGCATGGAGCCATGGCAGGGCCCCTGGGTCCCTGCACATGTCCCAGGCAAGCTCCAGAACAAGGACTGCCCTCCAGCTGTCAGGAGAGTGTCTCCACTGGCAACTGAAGCAGAAAAGCTTGGCAGAGGGGATGCAGGCTCGGGGACATCCCCAACCAGAGAGGAGAGACACAGTGTTCAGGCCAGGGCATCAGAGGGACCACATAGACACTCCTCCTCCCCAGCCCTGGTCCCTAAGAGGCAGCCTCCAGAAAATCACTTCACCAGCCAGGTGAGGAGCTTCCTGCAGAGGCTGTCCCCTGGGAGAAAACGCAAGGGGCAGCAAAGGCCCCTGGCTAAGGACAGCTCCCCATCAATGTCTGCAAAGGGCACAAGCCTCACCCAAGGCAGATGGGAGTTTTGTGGCAACACTGAAGCTCAGAAATGTGAGAGAGACCCTGGGGTGCTCCTCAGGAAACAGCGGGGCACAGGCCTGGGACAGCCACCCCCTGTCCCCAGGCACCTGTGCCCCCCCCTTATGGGCTCTGCAGAAGCTCAGCAGGAGGTCCAAGGGCAGGCTGAGGCAGAGCCAGTGGAGAGGCCCCACTCCTGGGGCAAAGCTCCCTGCTGTCAAGTGCAAAGGGCTGAGTTCTGCAGCCCAGGACAAGGGCAGGCAGCCCCTGAGAGGTGCGGCACTGTGGGAGAAGCGAAGATGGTGGAGACCTCTCCCATGCGTGCTTCCCGGGAACCCGAGTCCCACCAGGGTCCTGTCTGTAGGTGTCGAGCTGGTCAGGTGCCTGCAGCTGCCCTTCTCTGTGTTGAAGACCCTGTTGGGAGGTTTCCAGTTCCCAAACAAAATGCTTATCCAGGTTTTCTCGGGAATAGGTTTTCTGCCCAACAGTAATTTTCCCCTTGCTGACAGTATTGATTTCCCCCAATAAATTTTCTGAAAAAAGTGTGTGTGTTTTTGAGCCTTCTGTGTTGTATACGAGAAGGAGCCAGTCATTCCAGCTTTACTGGTTTCCTCTTTGTGCTTCTTGAATTATTCCCTGAGACTCTTGGAAGTGACATATTGAGAAGAGATTCTTCAGTCCCTGGTTGTCAGGAGAGTTGGAGCCCATTCCTTAGCTCACAATTTCCCTCGCTGATGCTTTCCATATTCTTGAGAACAGTGGTCCCCTCAGTATGAAGTCACTGACAAGGGTAGGCGTGTTCCTAAGAAGCGCTTGTCAGTGATCAGATGCTATAGGGTCATTGGATTACTGCTGGGCTGAGGACAGACAGCTACAGCGAACGAAGTGTGCTGTGTTGAGTGGGTTAAAAGCCAGGAGAGGATGTTTGGGTGGGATAGATCTGGTCAGAGATGTGCAGGACTGGAGAGCTGGGTGGCCTGGGAGACAGGACAGACTGTGTACTGAGGAGAAGTGAATTTGTCATGCTGCATGAACTTTTTCAAGTTGAGCGTGGTGGGCTAACATGCCACTTGGCAGTATTCCATGGTAAGAAAAGAAACATGGCTTGACAGCAGCCTAGGCAAGCTAGGAAATAACTTGGATTGGCCAGGCCAGTAGTCGTTGACAGTAGACTGGGTAGACAAGACTTGAGTTGGGAGACTGCAGGCATGACGAGGCCCTACTCTCCAAGACGGTAGGCTTTCCACACTGAGAGTAGAAAATCTAAAGAGTCGCAAACAGGAAAGAGAAATGAAGCATGAAGGACAATGAGATAAGCACTAGGGAGATTAACTGTCCCTCACACTCCATCTCCTGTGATGGGACAAACCATCAGAATGTGGCCCTCAACATAGCGTGACTCCAAGGCTTGTGGGTGTGTGGAATCCAGAGGCATGAGCAAAAAAGTATTTGAGGAGGCAGATGGACAAATGGCAGGAAGCTCCCCAGACAAGGAGGCTAGCAACCGTACTGAGAGCAATGAGGGACCACCTCGGCTTCGGAGGCTGGAAGAGAGACGTGCTGTCTTCTCGTGAAACCCTTCCACTGGCCCAGCAGCCTCTCCAGTTCACAACCCAGCCTGAGATCTCATGGAGGCCTTCCTGGCCCTTGTTCTGGGTAAGCCCTCTGCCACACCCACAGCTGCCACCTTTGAAGGCCCAGGATGTTTAGCTGGGAGTGCTCGTGAGAAGCCTGCACCTCACCCTGTCGGCCAGGGGACTCCAGCATCTGTATCCAGTTCTTAGCCCTCCGTCAGAAGAGAGCAGCTGTCAATAACTTTGGTTTCAAAAATTGTTTTAAGCTCAGTTCTCCAGACCTGTTTCCTATGTAGAGCTTCACAGGCCCATTTTCTTTATCTCTCCTTCTTTCTTATTTTTCTTCCTTTTTTCTTTTTCTTCTTCCTTCTCCCTCTTCTTCTCTTTTTTGAGACAGGGTATCACAATGTAGCCCTGGCTGGCTTTCTTGGAACTGTCTTTGTAGACCATACTGGCATTGACTTGACAGAGATCCGCCTGCCTCTGCCTCTTGAGTGCTGAGATTAAAGGCATATATGCCACCACCCTCTGGCCCTGGCAGTCCCATTTTTAGGGAAGGGATTTTGGTCCAAATCTGACAATTCTTTACTGTTTCTATGAAACTAAGTGGGATTTAGGTCCTAGAAATAAAATCTGGTGTTGCTGTGTGTGTGTGTGTGTGTGTGTGTGTGTGTGTGTGTGTGTGTGTGTTTTAAAGTGAGTTGGGCAGCTGGTCTGGGTGTCAGTGTATACTGTGGTCTGACAGGCTGTGGACCAGGCTAATTTGATAACCAGTCACTTAAATTGTCATTAGTGGGAGATGAGAGACTAAACAGATTGGCCACAAATTTGCAATGTGAGCTTGGCTGGGCAAGGCTGCCATGGGCCAGGGTGAGGTAGGGGGATGGAGACCAGAGGAATGTTAATGGAGGTCACATGGAAGAGGACTGGGATGAGACTGAAAGAGAGGCCTCTGGAAGGTGCTAGAATCAGTTGCAGAGCCAGAGCCAAATGAGTGGGCTACACTGGGGTGAGGCAGCAGCCATACATGCTATGGTATGGGACATCTTGGTGGAACAGGGTCAGGTAGGCAAACGTCAGACTGCTTGTAGGCCAGAGGAGGATGGATAGAGGGGTCACAAAGCATGAAACGGCAGAGCACGCTAGCAGGTGGATGGGGTGACTTGGAGACACCGGCCTGCAAGCATGGAGTAACACAAGGCAGAGGCAGGGTCTGCTGAAGGCTCAGGCAGAAGCAGAGCAGGAGGCCCTGAGAGACGTGCTGGTTGGCCGGCTAGGCTGAGCAGGATGCGCAAGAAACAGAATAAGTAGGCATGGGAGACAAGTAGGATGCTACCTTGGCACACTGGGTAGCCTAGGGTAGACTGGAGAACAGAGCATGTGGCAGGCCAGGTTATAGGAGATCCGCAGTGGGGTCTAGGGGACAACAGTGACATGAGGGGAGCAGTGGCCCTGGGCACGTGTCGCATGCAGTGTGATAGGCTGCGGGCAGTACATGAATGGGAGGGTTCTGACCCAGGCTGCTTGCAGGCCCAGAGGCACTGGCTCAGGCGGGGTCGTGGTGATGTGGCTGAAGAGAGGGGTGACAGGCAAATGGTTAGCCTAGCCTGCAGGGCCATGCAAGGTAAGCTGGGAAAATGCACCAGCTGGTAGGTCAGTTGGGAAATGACACGTAGAATGGGCCGCAGTGAGTGGAGAGGGCTGAAATCAGGTGAGGCTTGGGAGGCCTGCTAGGCTTACCTGGGAACAGGACCCCAGGCCCCAGGGAGCAGTCATAGAGGCAGATCAGAAGTTAGCCCACGAGGGTGTGTTTGCCTACATTAACTGGCCAGGTTGGCAGGGAAAGACAGCTATGAGGGTAATTGTAGGCTGGCAGGCCAGACGGATATAAATTACCAAGTCTACTTAGAAGCCTGGAAAAATATTAAGTAGCTGTGCTGGCTGGCTTTCTGTCAACATGACACAGAGTTGAGTCACCTGAGAGTAGGGGACCCCAACTGAGAATGCAATCTCTTCTGCAGCCTCCATAGGACTGGGCAGCGGGCAAGCCTGGAGAGAATTTTTAAATTAGTGATTGATGGGGGAAGGACCCAGTCCATGCGGAAGGGAACTGGGCTGATGGTCCTGGGTTCTATAAGAAAGGCTGAGTAAGCCATGAGGAGCAAGCCAGTAAGCAACCCTCCTCCATGGCCTGTGTGTCAGCTCCTGCCTCCAGGTTCCCCCCTGCTTTGAGTCCCTGCCTTGGCTTCCCTCTGAGGACTGTAACTTGGAATATGTGAACCAAATTAACCACCTCCTCTCCAAGTTGCTTCACCCCAGCCATAGAAACCCTGACTGAGACAGTGGAGAACCACCATTGGCTGGGGAAATGGGCAGCGGAGGACGGCGGCATTAGCTGGGGAGGTGGGCGTGCTGACAGGGCTGTTGCAGCATCAATGCCACGCAGCAGCATGGTGTGCCCTCCACACCCCAAGAGCAAGAGCACACATGCCACAGGAACGGATGGACGGGAGGGAGGCAGCATAAATGTCTGGAGCCAGGCATGTCCTGCAAGACAGACATCCAGCACCTGGACAGCCACATGCTCAAGTGACAGCCACAAGTTCTAGCACGGACAGCAAATGGGCTCCGCAGCACCAATATCAGCCCCAGAAGATGCTGACAGAGTGACATCTGGCAGGGAGGTATGGGAGGAAGTGTAGGGAGAAAGTATGGGGTTATCAAGTGGCCTCCTTTTTGAGTAGCAATGCCATTTCTGTCTTTATGCTTGTCATTCATTTCTACTTAAATACACATTTCTCTTACTCTTAGCCCCCCTTTTTAACCTGAAAGAAAGCTAACCTCCCAAGATATATTTCTGACACCGACAGACAGCAGGGTGACAATTTTCTCTGAAAGTATCGTCGCTCTAGGCCAGGGAAGGGAAATATTTCTCTGAGGTGACTTTCCAGTGGACACAGCTCAGTGGCAAGGACAGAGCGGCAAGGAGGCATTAGCAAGCATCCTTGTGTGGGGCCAGACGGCACCTGTGGTTGTAGGTACATTGCCACCATAGTCACGCTCACTCAGAACAGCTCTGTTCTCCCAGAACTGTTTTTTGCAGGCGACACATCGTACGGTAAGACCAAAGCCGATGAGGGGAAGTGTGGGCGGCCACATTTTGGCAATAACTCAGCTGAGAGTCAGGAAGCAGGACCAAATTCTTTTCAAGGCACAGCTCATCCATTCTTCAAAAGAGCCCAGAGAGCCAAGATAACTCTTAGGAGCACACAGGAGCCACTCTCTGAGAGCTGAATTAACCCAGCCCTTTCCCTAAACACAAGGTTCGTGTCACCTAAAATCCACGCCACACACAGCAAACAAGCATACACCACACACAAAAGACACTACCTCATCAAAACATTTATTGGGGGGGCAATGCGTACTCGTAATAAGAGGTGGATTATTTGGGGGGAAGAAGACTTTTTCCACTGAAATTCTGAGCCAGAATTTTCTGTCCACATAATCGGGACACATCTGCCAACAAAGTTCCTACAGCAAAGGGGGGCGCCGGCTGCGGAACTTGCCCAGCTCGACTTTTCAAGGGGTTTTGGCAGAGTTCTGGCTCTCTGTGGGGCGCAGGTGGGCGAGGCTGTAAAGCTTCACATTTCTGGGGCTGTCTGCCTCTCTCTTCCGCCGATCTCTTTTGACCACCGAAGGCAAGGGCCTGATTGTAGGGCCTGGGAGTTGGCCCGGTAGAGTGCGTCGCTTGGTGGCGGAACTCATGCCCCTGGACTGCCTCTGCCTGGACCCAGTACTCTTTCCTCGGCATAGTCCTCACAGGCTTTGTAGGAGGACACGAGGGCGCGTAGGGGTGCGTGCTATCTGCTGCAGCCTGCTTGTGCCCCGCTTGTTCCTTGGGGATCTCCCCAAGATCTCTCATGGCTTTCTGAGCTACAGTGTTCCCAGGAAGGGTAGCTCTCCCCTTTAGTTTTGGGTCATACCTGGGTGAGGATGGGGGCGTACCCTTTCTCAGGAACACTTCCTGCCCTTTGCATTTTCTGTCAGGAGCAAGCCACTGGAAAAAGTGTTTGACGTGCTTTCTGAACTGGTGTTCAGGAGGGGTCGGAGCCTTCCCGGGGAGGGGTTGGGTGGGCTTTTCCCCACGGTTCCTTTGTGTTGGGCTGCCTTGTGCGTGGTAGCTCTTCCCACTGGCTTGGACTATCGTAGCCCCTGCAACCCCTGCAACCCCTGCACCAAGCTCCTCTGCTCTCCTGGGAACGGGGCATACCATCTTGGCAGATGGAGGGAGCTCCTTGTTCTGGCCCTTGTCTAAGACAGATGGAGACATCCGGGGCTCCTGTTGCTGTTCCACAGAAGGCCCCGCTGTGGGCGAGCGGGCCTGTTGCACCCAAGCAGCATCCACGGATCGGCTGGAAGGCTCACACTTAAGTAAAGCTTTGGAAGTGAATTTATCTGAGATAAAGAGCACGCTGCGTTGGGGCCCTAGAGCTTGGATGGTCTGACTGCTCTCTGATTTAAATTCCTCTTCCCAGGATACCTGAGTGTTAAAGTCAGATGTCTGAATTTCCTGGGGACCTGATGTTCCCTTCATGGCCCTTCCAGCTAACAGGGTACTGTGTGCTTTTGTTGTATTCCCATCTGCCCCTTGGGTACTCTTGCACTGGTTGGTTTTCAAGGTCTTGGTAGGTTGTGGCTGAAGACCACTGAGCTGCCCTCCCTTGACTATATTACTGACCTTGCTGGGTGCAAATACATTTTTGTCATTCGTATTTGCTTTTTGAGGCCCATGGACTGTTTCGTCAGAACTTAATCTCTTCTCCAATGGCACAGGGCTAGCCTTAGCCGACATTCTGGGCACATCTCGGCTGTGTATATTGTCCTGTGACTTTTCCAGGCTGGTGCTGTCTAAGATAATGGATGTCTGTTGCATAACAGACTTTGCGATTCTCTGTATGTTCTTGACATGCTCAACCTTGTTATCAGGAGGTGACTGTCTCTGGGCCTTGTGATCTTTGATGCTCACACATGACGTTAAAGGGGGAGGGTGATGTCCTGATCTGGATGTAGGGCCAGGGACCTGATCATGATTGATTTCATAGAGATGTCTGCTCAAATGTTCTTGCAGGGCAGCTTCAATCTTTTTCCGGCATTGGCTCACCTGTGAGGTCCCTGAAGGTCTGCTTGGCGGACTTCCTGAGTGGCACGGTGGGCTTGTCTTACAGTCAGATTGCAGGCCATTATCTAGGGCGCCGTTGGTGTTACTCCACGGGCATTTTTGTACAATCTCTGGACTGTGTCCTTCTGCCTTTCCCACTTTTCCCTTTAGAGAGACAGCCTCTGAGAACCTCTCTTGGGAGCTTCCGGGCTGGTTCAACACAGTCTTGGGTAGGTTTTTGCTGTCCTGGTGCTTATAGAGAGAGCTGCATGGGAGCCCACAGCTGCTCTGAGATGCCTCTGGAAGGTCTGGGCTCATCCACGACTGAGACTTGTAGATCCCTTGTGGCAGGCCCCATCGCTGGAGGATGAGCCTCTTTTGAAGGTGGTGCTCGAGTTTCTTCCGAAATGCATTACTAAGGGGGAATTGTCCAGAATCGACAGACTTGAGAACGTAGGTCTCAGAGGCCTGGCTGGCCAGTGAGGGCTTGGAAGGGAGGGGACAGATTTCTTCCTGAGATTTTTGGACCACAGAGGGCAAACCCCACCCCTTCTCCTGTTCTTTTGTCACAATGCTGTATTCTAGGCAGTGGATTTCAGATTGCAGCAGAGATCTTGCCACATCTTGGGATCCATGAAAATATACCCCACAGATGCTAAGCTGAGGTTGAGGAGGAAGAGGAGGCGGCGGCGCCGGTGGCAGTGGGATTAGAGGTTGAAGCAGGACATTTTGGGACTGAGACTGGGTCAAGGTCTGTGACTGACTTTCCGGCAAGGACAGAGGTGTGCGGTGAGTCATGGCTGGGGTGTCTGAGGTTCTGTTGAACCAGATGCACGCTGAGGAACAGTGAGTGGACAGTGTGGTGATGGTACCCATGGACTCACTGTGGAGATAGGGGAGGCCCCAGAAGTGCTGTGTGAGCTTGGGCTCTAAGTGGCTTGTGGAGGCCGGGAGTTGAACGAGCCCCTGGTGCACATTCAGCTTGCTGAGAACGCCTTTGCTATCCCGCAGGCAAAGGGAGCCATCTGAGTGCTGCTGAACCTCGGCCACTGGTCCTATTTTTTTCTTCCAAATTGCAAGAGCTTTTTGGAAATACTCTTTTCCCTCATCCTTCCGAGTAAGGACGTCAGCCTGACTTTTGTCTTGTCTCTTACGCACTGCCAGGATTTCAGAACTGGGGAAAGAGAGGTTTCCAGGCACTGTAAAATGACCTGTGTTTTGTCCACCCAGATAAGCTTCAGAAGAATGGCAATTATGTGTCTCTTGGTTAACTAAGCCTTCCGACTGGGATGGGGAGATGCTGTTGTCAGCGCCAGTCTGCTGCCGGGAGAGCTCTGACAGGGCTCCACAAGAACCCTTATTTGTTGTGGCATTCATGAGCTGCTTACGAGGACGGCCCACCATGGATGGAGTGGCTTCTCGTTTTAAAGGCCGTTCCATTTGCTGAGTGGCATGCTGTGCCTTGGGTGGGGACATGGGAAGTGGATGAGGTAGGATGTGGTCCAGCGGAATGTAAGGCCTTGTGACAGAAATCAGCTCTGATGGCCGGGTGTCAACCTGGAGTGTGCCCAGAACTATATCTTCCAAGGGGGTAGCCTTGATAGTCGAAGGAATAGAGGGAGTAGGAGGGGGAGGAGAAGGTGGAAGAGAGGAAATGTGACATCTTGAAGGGCTCGGTGAGAGGGAAGGGAGCAGAGTAAATGAGGTCTCGGTCACAGAAGCTGTGGAGGTCATGCTGGACACAGAGGCGGCATCATCTCGCAGACTGGCCCATGAGAGCAGTCGACTGACCTTAGCGGTTGCTCGGTTGCACACATCACAGCAGGGGTCAGGACAAAGCACTTGCCGAAGGTGGGAGGGGTCATACATCTGTCCCAAGGGGCTGAAGAACAGAGAAAGCTCAGACCTGTAGTCAGGACCTGTGTTCTAGGTCAGCTTGACTAGAACTTGACACAGCCTGGCTTCACCTGAGAGAATAGCCTCACTGGAAGGATTGCCTAAATAGGACAGGCCTGCGGCCATGTCTGTAAGGGAGTCTCTTGATTAATGATTGCTATGGAAGGGCCCTGCCCACTGTAGGCGGAACCATCCCTAGGGAGATGGTGCTGACATGTGTAAGAACTAGCTTGACTATGAGCCTACCTATACAATAGCTAGCTAGCAAGCACCATTCTCCATAGCTCCTGCTTACTTCTTGGCTAGAAAGTAAATTCCTTGGTTGTAGGTAATGCCTTGTAGAATGGCAGTCAGACCTGCCTCGACCTCCCTCAACAACTGCCTATGGTCTGGATTTGCAGGCTGAAACAAACCTTTGCTCCTGAAAGTTCGTTTTGGTTGTGGTATTTTATCATAGCAACAGAACAAAACCAGGAGGAACACCATGCATAGACAGAGGGCCTACAAGGCCCATCCTGGGTATGGACACCCAAATCCTGTGTGCCTATTCCTTTTTCTCTGTCCTTGGCTGCCAGGGAGGAGACAGCCTCACCTCATCCCCCCAGTTTATGTACTTATTCCTTTGGCTATCCCTCCCATGACAAGAGCAGGCTATGCTAAGTCTCTGGAATGCCCTGATCTGGGGGTGGGGGTGGAGGTGGGTAACAGGCCCTGAAAGAAGGGAAGAGACTCACCTTTGCACAATAGACAGCAGCCGCCTCCGCTCCTGTGCTCCTCTGTGGAAGATTCTGAATTCTGGAAAGCAGGGTTGTGGGTTGTATGGAATGAAAGAGAGGTGTGGGCATCACACAGTCCGTCTACGGTAAACACTTAGGCTACTGTAGTCTGAAATCACCAAGAAACAGGAGACGAGGTTGTCAGCGGCAAAGCCAGCAACGCTAGCTCATCACTCTCATTTCCATCATGGATGTCCACTCACCAATGTGCGACACGGAAGCCCACGAGCTTGGCTTCCTCAGAGATGTCTGAGAATCCAGGTGTGACACCAGGAACCAGCTCCTGACACCAGGAGTCAGGAGCTGTGGCTCCAACACAACCTGTAGTCCTCCCTGGGTCCCACCTGTGCCCACTGCGTGGGCAGCACCCATGCCCAGGTTAGGCATCACTGCTTCATGCCCACAGGTGAGCAGAACAGGGACTCAGGGCTGGTTCTGTCTTCTCTGAGGGCTCTATTGTCTATATGCTGTGATATCCTCAGCTCATGGACCTGGGCTCCTATGGGAATGACTGGAAAAGGAAAACTAGGGTGAGAAGACCCTGTAGGTGGGAGCCTACCTTTATATGATACTCTTCTTCTTCTGTTAACTTTGCCTCGTTGCTGTGAACAAAAATAAATAAATAAAAATAAAAAAGATTTTTAAATGTTGTTTTTCTTAGGATCCCCAAGTCTTCCATTAACCAGAATATTGTGATTCCAGCCTAGTAAGATTAATTACTATATTTATTGTTTACTTTCAAAGGTGATAGAATATTTCCCTTTTTTAAAAGTTGTATACAATAGTCTGTGTGCACTTACACCTATGCGCCAGAAGAGGGCACCACATCTCATTAGAAATGGTGGTGATTCATATGGTTGCTGGGAATTGAACTCAGGACCTCTGGAAGATCAGCCAGTGCTCTTAACCTCTAAGCCACCTCTCAAGCCCTGATAGAATATTTTCAGTTTTTCCTTCTTTGAGAAACTAAAAGAGGACGTTTATCTGCAAGACTCACAGCTGGGAATATCATTGAGAAGTCCTGTGCTGAACAGCCTACGCTCTGGGGCCAGAGCCTCAGTCGTGTTCTCTCTGAGACACTTTGTCCTGGAGATGAAGCTCGGGCTCCAGGTTCTGCCCAGAGGTCCCAGTGCTCATCACCGCTCTCCTGCAGCCCAAGCTGGAGGAAGGCTGGGTGAAGGGGATGAAGAAGCATTCGAAGAAGGACCAGAGCATGGGACCCAGTGTCTGCAGACACTGCTCTCCTTCAGAAAACCTGGCACCTGGAACCAAGTCAGTAAGACCAGGAATGGGTGCTCGGCACTGGTCATGAATACCCAGGGAGGTGGGCTGTAGGTCCAGGCGCAAACCATAATTCCTTCCAGCCCAGGCTCCATGCTCTAAGATAGCAGTGTTCTCTCCTCTCTACAAAGGAAGAAACTCCCTAGGAACTCACATACTGCCTTACCTTGTGGGTGTCTTGATTGGTCCGTGTGGCTAAGAAGGGTTTCAGTATTGGGTACGTCAGGTACAAAAGAAGCACTCCTACCACACTCAGAAAGAGGCCCTTGGGGTAAAAGTCCATGAAGACTGAGCTGAAGCTTAGCAGACATGGTTTGGTGGTGTTACCCAGAAAGGAGAGAACGTCCTCCATAGTGTGAATTGCACGGAAACTGAGAGCCGAGGCTTCGTGGGCCTCCCTGTAAGTGCCAGATCTGCATCACAGAGCAGGGAGAGTCATAGAGGGTTTGTGAGGGCGGGGAAGGCGTTTGTGAGGATGGGGAGGAGGGAGAGTCCCCAGCCCCCACCCTTCGGCCCCAGCGGAGCCCTCTGCTTGAACCCGCTGCTCCATCCCCACCCTGCTTCCCTCACTTCCTCTTTTGTTCATTCCCTCTGTGGCTTCACCTTAGCCCCCTTTATCGTTTGTAAGCTCTTGACTTTGACCCATGCAAATCTCCAGCCCAGAGAGCCTGACCTGGCATCTTCCTGGAAATGTTTGCTGTTGTTTAGTTGGTCTCATGAGGACCAAAGTCTTTCAACATATCTATCCACAGGACCACTTCCCCTCTTACAAAACTAGCAAGACAAAATTTCCTTTCCACGTATTTACTTTGTGACTGTGCAATTACCAACTTTTGTGTGTGAGTCATTTTGCAGAGTCTTCAGTCAGAGGGACAGACTAAAATTGCAAAGCCATGATAAATGCAGGAGGTATACAATTAAAATTTCAAGTGTTCTTTTGTGTACGATCATACCATTTGCTTTCGGTGGTGATGCAGATGGAAAGCCAGGCTGGGAAGGAGTTAGGGTTACCCACAGAATGGGGTATGCTGGTGGAATAGGGTGGAGTGAAAAACGGGCAGGCGGCAGGCCAGCCAGCTGCAGAATCTTAGGGACCCCAGCAGGCTGTGTGATCTGAGGATAGTTAGGAATAAAATATCCTCCAGAGACCAGGATGAGGCAGGGATCCTGGTAGGCAAGATGATTGGAAACTGGAGAGCTCCTATGAGCTGGGGGAAAGTGCAGTCTGGGCACACATAGGCAGTTGTGGGATGTTTGTAGAGTTGAGCAAAGTGGGATTGGAGCTGTTTGGTCAGATGGAAAGCTGAGGGACAGACAGTATGTGCCAGATTCTGAAAGAGCAGGCAACTGTTGGATTGCTGGGTGCGCTGGCGGGTCAGTGGGAAGTGTACCAGGATGAGATGAGGGCCAGGCCTCAGTGTCATTGCAGGTCACTGTGAACTAAGTTGGGTAGGGGCACTGGATTGACAGGGTGAGATAGGAACCAAGGCTGCTTGGGAACGCTAGGCTAACGTGCAGAGTGACAGGAGAGGTAAGCAGGGTACGCTGGTAATGGGATGCCCTGGGTGGAACAGGGCAAGCTGGGGAGCATGGCAGGCTGGCCAGACAGGATGTGGCTGGTGTGCAGGTGGCCAGTAAGGTACCATAGGTATAGGTTTGGGGACAGGGCAGGATAGCATGCTAGGCGGCCACAGAACAGGATGAGTTGGGCATGTGGGGGAGCATGTGGGGCAGGGCAAGGCCTGCGACACTGATCGGCTAGATGGGGAATGGGTTTTCCTAGGTTAGGCAGGGGCTTTGTAGGATGAGTGGAGGACCGACCGGACACGGGTCAGGTGAGGTTTGGTATGTCCTCAGTGTGCGCAGGAAGTGTAAGGAGCCTAGCACACCGGGTAGACTGGGGTGAGTAGGGTAGCAGGCAGGCTAGCAGCCGCTGCGTGTCACCACTGTAGTGTATCTGGCAATAAGAGAGGCTGTGGGGACAGGCAGAAGCAGGTGTGTTGAGGACAGAAATGGCTGTGTTAGAAGACTGAGAGGTAGGTTACAAGGACAGGTGTCCGGGCTGGAGGGGCTTACCACAGTGAGCTTGGGCAGAGTGGGAGAGGGGCCTACCACAGTGAGCTTGGGCAGAGTGGGAGAGGGGCCTACCACAGTGAGCTTGGGCAGAGTGGGAGAGGGGCCTACCACAGTGAGCTTGGGCAGAGTGGGGGAGGGGCCTACCACAGTGAGCTTGGGTGGAGTGGGGACCAGCTTCCCACTCAGCAGGGGCATTTGCAGACTAAGTTGAGCTTGGGAAAGGGGCTGGATGTGGGCTGGCCATGGTTTGGGATTAGGGTGAGTTGGGACACACTACAGAGTAGGGACTGGGGTGATCTGTGAAACCAGGCACTCTGGTGGCACTATTGTGACATTAGGAAAGAGAAGGTTGGTGGGTCATGTGACATCATAATCAAGGGATTTGGACAATGAGCTCCATGGTGGACTATGCTGGGGTGAGAAGTCATAGGAGCCAGAATAACTGGCATTAGACTACAGTGACTTGTGGAAGTTAGAAGCTAAGGAGACAGGGGACTAGGCTGAGATGGGGAACAGTGGGACCTGGGTGAGACAGGGAGCATGAGACACTGGGTACTATGGGGTCAGGGGTCAGGTATGGACTAGGTTGAACACTGTAGTGTGAGGTACTGGGGCAAACACTAGGGTGCAAGGGGCGTCCTTCCCTCTGATGGAACTGTGTGAGTCTGGACACTGGGCAGACTCACAGATCAGACAGACCAGGGACAGACTGTGACACTGGTACAGGAGCCTCTGAGGCACACCGGGGTGACTGGAGAGCAGTGTGCAATCTTGGACGTGGTCACGGTGGGCTCTGCAGGCCGGGCAGCTGAGGAGCTCATTGAGTTTGGCAAAATGGCAGGCTGGGTGGACTTTGTCTTGGTTGGGAAACAGGTGGACTACGGAGAGATCAGACAGAAGGCAAGCAATCAGGGATAGTTGGGGAATGGTCCTTATCCTCACTGATGGACCTTCCTCAAACAGAGCTAGGAATGGAACGCAGGTCCTCTGGAAGAGCAGCCAGCGCTCTTAAGTGCTGAGCCATTTCTCCAGCCCCTACCTCATTTTTGAGTTGACTAGTTTGGATAGACCATCTTTGATCAGCAAGTGTCCACCTCGCGCCACTGGGCTCACAGACACATGCACCCTGAGGTTTCTGTGGGTGCTGGGACCCTGAATTCATAACTTTGTGCTCAGGTGGCAAGCACTCTACACAGTGAACCTATGGGTGGCCTTGAAGCTACCAGGCCATCAGTAGAGTAGTTTGCTGCCAGCTGACCAGCAGGTCGCTGATTTTGGGGACTTGCCCTCATCCACAGTTCTCTCAGGCAGAGAAACAGCCACATGCAGGACTTTCCTTGTCAACACAGGAAGGCAAGTGTGGTGTCTACGCCCAGTGACCAGGGATTCTGCTACTGTCTTAGACATCAGGTAGCATGTCCCTTGGGCTTCATTCTCAGGCTTTTTCAGGCACATTAGCCAGCAGGCTCTGGTCCTTAAGTTATTTGAATTAGGTATGTGATCCTTTGGATCCAAATTATTCATCTCTATATGAGAGGTCTCTCCACCCCTGACTTTATTACCCTTATAAATCTTCTAAATGCAGGTAGCTTTTTCCATCCCTAGGATGCACTTGTGTAAATGAGAAGAGACTTTCAAAGCTCTGGGAAGATGGTATGAGGTTGAAACATGAAAACCCACCTGGACTCGAACCCTGGAGTAAAACGAGCAATATATAGTTTCTCGAAGTTGAATTAAATCTGTGTAAGTCCCCACATTCAGCGCAGGGCGGTCCGACGCTGGTCCTTCCTGGTCCCTTGATTACTGTGCTCCTCATTCAGTGTTGAGGCTCAGACCATAACTGGACAACACATTTCCAGTTTTTCCAGTTCTAGAAACACGTTGGCATTTGTCTTGTTAACAAAATCTCACCTCCCTGTCTTTGAGGAAGCAAGCTACCACTTGGGGTATGCCCACTCGCAGGAAACTGAGGAAGAACTTCAGCCAAGAGCCAGCAAGCCTGTGACTGACAGCCTCAGCCCAATAGCTCTGAAGAGCTGAACCCTGCTAGAGTCCCACAAGGAAATATGGAGATGGGTTGTTCCCCAGTCAAGCCTTCTAATTTCAGCCTTGTCAAACACCCCAAGGCAGAGAATGCAGGACTGACAGAGACAGAGGCAATAAATTAGGCTCTTAACCACTAAAATTTAAGGTACCCAGAACACCGATAGTTGATTAACACAGGTTGGGGTCATTGCAACTTCACATGAGAAGCAGAAAGAGAACCATCCCCACAGAGACCAGATTCTGTCAGCCCCACTCAGCGACTGTCCTCATGCTGCAGTAGTTAAACGATAGCATTTTGTGCTTGAAAGTCCATATTGGTCTCCGGTAGGTCAAGACTGTGGGATGAGAGGGGGTCCTGAGAATGAGAGACTAGCTCCTGCTCCCACTGCTTTCTTTTTTTCCTCCTCCCAGTTCTGTTTGACTCCTCTTCGTTTCTTTACTCTCTAATACTGGGCAGCCATGCAGGCTATCTCTTTAGGTGATTGCTGAGGGGCCTTTTGTTCTGCTGGTGTCAGGGAGCCGGCATCCCGGAGAGTCTTCTGGAGTGGGGAGGCTCTTCCTTCCCCTCAGAGTGCCCATATGTGTAAAGATACCTCATTTTCAAGTTAGGAATAAGAATAGTGTCATTGCCAGAGAGCAACATGCCACCATAAGAGTCAATTCCTGGAGTCTGAGCCAGCCCCAAGGCAGCAAAATCTGTGCGTACACACCTCACACAGCGACTGTGCAGGTCTGTAAACACACACCTCACACAGAGACTGTGCAGTTATGAAGTATTCAAGTCAGTATTTTTCGTGTCTGTTTTTGTTTTGGGGCTTTCTATTAGTATTTAATTTGTATTATTTTTTAAAATTTTATTTATTGAGTTTACATCCTGATTGCAGGCCCCCCTTTCCTTCCAGTGGCCCCCTCCTCGAATATCACTCTCTCATTCTCCCCTCCCCTCCTCAGAGAAGGGGGAGGTCCCCCCTGGGGACCAACCTGCCCTGGCACATTAAGTAGCTGCAAAACTAGGAGCATCCTCTCTCACTGAGGTCAGACACGGCAGCCCAGTCAGGGGGACAGGATCCAAAGGCAGGCATCAGAGTCACAGAGGTCCCCTGCTCCAGTTATTGGGGGACCCACACAGAGACCAAACTACACATACCTCTGCAGGGGCCTAGGACCAGCCCATACATGCTCTTTAGTTGGTGGTTCAGTTTCTGTGAGCCCCCATAGGCCCAGATTGACTCTGTAGGTCTTGTGGGGGCCTTGATCCCTCCAGCTCCCTCAACTCTTCCATAGGACTCCCTGAGCTCTGCCTAATGCGGGTCCCTGCATCTGTTTCCATCAGCTGCTGAGTGAAGCCTCTCAGCTTCACTCAGCCTTACATTAGGCTCCTAATGTGACTCCATAGCAGAGTCACATTAATAGTATCAGGAATTGGTTATCACCCATCGATGGGTAACAGCTCCTTTGGGTCTGTGGACTGTAGCATGGTTGTCCTGTACTTCATGGCTAACATCCACCTATATTATGTGGATATCATGCGTGTCTTTTTCGGTTTGGGTTACCTCTCTCAGGATGATATTTTCTAGATCCATCCATTTTCCTGAAAGTTGGTTGGCCAGGCCCTCAGTCTTTTGCTCCATCTTTGTTCCTGAACATCTTGTAGGCAGGGCAAATTTTGGGTGGAAGGTACTGTGGCTGGGTTGGTGTCCTTATCCCCCCCACTGGCAGTTGTGCCTGGCTACAGGAAGTGGCCCCTTCAGACTCCATATCTCCCTCTGTCTCAGCTAGGGTAACTCCCCTCCCCCAGACTTCCTGGGGCCTCCCCTATCCCAGCTCTCTGGCAAACCCCAGAGATGCCTCTCACCTCCAATTTCCATTCTCTCACCTGGCCCTCTCTCCTTCTTTCTTCCTACTCCTAATCCCCACCTCTGCTCCCTCCACCCCCCCATACCTTTTTTTTTTCTCCTTCTGAGGGAGAGGCAGACTGCCTCCCTTGGGCCCTCCTTGTAACTTAGCTTCTTTGGGTCTGTGCATTAAAGCATGGTTAACCTGTACTTTGTGAGTGAGTGAGTACATACTTATGACTGAGTACATACCATGAATATCTTTTGGGGATTGGTTACCTCACTCAAGATATTTTCTAGATCCATCTGTTTTCCTGAAAATTTCAAGATGTCTCCATTGTGTAAATGTATCACATTTTCTTTATCCATTCTTTGGTTGAGGGACATTTAGGTTGTTTCCAGTTTCTGGCTATTACAAATAAAGTTGCTATGAACATAATTAAGCAAGATCCTTGTGGTATGGTGGGGCATCTTTTGGGTATATGTCCAGAAGTGGTATAGCTGGGTCTTGAGACACAATTATTCCCAGATTTCTGAGAAACTACCAGATTGATTTCTACAGTGATTGTACAAGTTTGCACTTCCACCAGCAATGAAGAAGCATTCCCCTTTCTCCACATCCTTGCCAGCAAGTGCTATCACTTGAGTTTTTGATCATAGCCTCCCTGACGGGTATAAGATGGAATCTTGGGGTCGTTTTGATTTGCATTTCCCTGATGACTAAGGATGTTGAACATTTCCAAGTTAGTAGTCTTTAAGAACAGAAGTATCAGAAAAATAGTCTTATACCTGAGTCCCTTTACAGCTGCAAGTTCTGTCTTTGTCTGTAAAGAGCAGATGAAGAGGGAAGGGTGCATGCTGGGTGTTACCCTTACTCACAGTGTCAGTAAGAGTGGGAAGCAGGACCCTCACCGCACCCTTCTTGAGAGACAGAGAGATGGCTCCTGTGGGCAGATGATGTTCAAATCCTCACGAAGATGAGGTCAGAGAGGAAGCGTTCTCTCCATCACGGTCTTCAGAGCCTGGGCTTCATGCTGCCAAATCAAAACTTCCTGTGGGCCGCAGGGACAGCTCTGTCTTACTGTGTCAGAAGGTGTTCAGCTCTGAAGCTCTGCTGTGTAGGATAGCGAGGGCACAGGGAAACAGCACTTTCATGGTCCGGATTTTAGGGTTTTCCTCACCTGAAATCGGCTGAGGAGGCTGGTGAAGATGTCTCAGAGGCAGAGAGCCCCTGCTCTTACAGAGGCTCTGAGCACCTCACAGCTACTTGCAGCTCCAGCTCGAGGGATCTTGATGCCTCCTTCTGGTCTCAGTGCGCACCCCCACATAAACACACACACACACACACACACACACACACACACACACACACACACACAGAAATAAAAAAATTTAATTTAAAAAAAGGCAGGCAGATCTCTTTGAGTTTGAACCTTGCCTGATTTACATAGCAAGTTCCATTCCAGTCCAACTGGGGCCATATAGTGAAACCATGTCTAAAAATAACATAAATTAAAAAAAAAAGAAAATGGCTGGGAATTTTCAGAATAAGTCTCTGTGTTAGAAAAAACACACACACACACACACGCACAAAATGAGTACAAGTATAAAATGTCTGAAAGGTGATTGTCAGCATGACCATTTAGAATAAAAACAGCAAGTTCTATCCTCCGGAGCATGACCTCTCCTGCTGTGGGCTTTTGAACAGCACTGCAGTACCAGGCATAAAATTCCCTCCTGTGGATCCATTCAGACTTGTGCCAATAGGATCTGTTGCAGCATGCAGCACCCAGAACTTGCTGGGGAAGACTGTTGGTCTCTGCTCTCCCCCATAGCCTGCACACTGCCTGTCAGCATCGTGAAGGGCAGCCAGCTGGAAGTCCCCCAGCTGGTATAAGATTGTTTTCTGTGTGTCCTGCAGCCACCGTGTGTGGTGTCTTCAGCAACAGAGTCTGGGCACCACAGTCTGTGTTGTTTTGGAGGCCTTGGGAGCAGGCCTGACTGATAACTTACAGGGAGGCAGCCAAGCCTCACACTTGTCCCTGGAGACCTGAGCTGCTGTCTGCCTTGGTCAGAGAAGTGTCTTTCAGCAGCTGGCAGCAGTCAATGCAGAGAAGCAGAACTGCGTGAGGTGCTGAGAACAAGAGACAAGCTTAGCCCTGTGTCAAGCCCAGCACCAAGGCTTGGGGACAGCAGGGAAGAGGGTGGGAGAGTGCTTTGAAACAATCATGGACTCACGGCACACTGGTTACCTGCATGGGCCTATGCAAGACCAAGTCAGCCTCACTCCCACCTGAAGGTGGGGTTACATGTGGGTCTGAGCTGCCTGACATTATCATGGGAACCAAACTCAGGTCCTATGGGTGAACAACAAGAACTTTTAATCATTGAGTCATCCCTTTTTTGAAGATGTGGCCACCAGTTGGTTGCCCATGATCCAAAGGATAGTCCACTTTTTTTTTTTTTTAAGATTTATTTATTATTATGTACACAATGGTCTGTTTGTACATACCAGAAGAGGGCACCAGATCTCATTATAGATGGTTGTGAACCACCATGTATAATGGTTGCTGGGAATTGAACTCAGGGCCTCTGGAAGAGCATCCAGTGCTCTTAATCTCTGACCCATCTCTCCAGCCCTGACGGTCCATTCTTATATGTCTATGGGCAGCACTAGCTAAACCTAGGCATGAAGTTGGGATGGAGTGTGTGTTGGGGGGATGCTGCAGGGACAATGGTAGATTAGATGGGGGACACTGTGGGGAGGATGGTGGATAGATGGGGACACTGTGGAGGATGGTGGGTAGATGGGAACACTGTGGGGAGGATGGTAGATAGATGGGGACACTGTGGAGGATGGTGAGGACACTGTGGAGGATGGTGGGTAGATGGGGACACTGTGGAGGATGGTGGATAGATGGGGACACTGTGGAGGATGGTGGATAGATGGAGACACTGTGGAGGATGGTGGATGGATGGGGGACGTGGGGGAGTATGGTGGGATAAATATTATTTCATTACATACATGTGTGAAAATCCCAAAATAAAAAAAAAAATGTTTCATAAACCAGTGAAATCAAAGGATCCAGAATTAAGCTGGGAAGGTTCTGGCAAGCACCCTACAAGGTACTAGACATCTATTTTAGTAGAAGCCCTTCATTAAGCATGTGTTGAGCAATCCCACAAGCCAGGCCCACAGTTCAAGACACAGACAACTCCAAACTATCAGAAGAAACATGTATTCTTGGTTTTGTTAAATAGATTATTCTCATCACAGGGTGTATTGCTCTGAAAATATTTTTAAAAATTTAAACAAAAACTGGGTTCCATTGTGAAAAATTTCCCTTTGCAGTTCCTATAAAAGGGTCAGGCCGATCACAGCGCCTTTAGCAGATGTGAGGGTAATGAAATGGCATGCCTTTATGCATGTGGGGGCTTGAAGAGAACTAGGGCTCTCTGAAGTCAGGGAAGGACAAGTAACTCTGGAATTGTGGCTGCTGCTCAAAGGATATGTGAGGACGTTTCTGTCTGGGACTCAGCTTATAACTTGGGGCTGGGGAGATGGCTGTCTTCTGACAGGAGCAGCTGCTTGTCCCTTCTCCATGCTGGGCAGCCGCAGGGTTAGAAAGTTGTCCCTTGATGGGCACTGGCTGGGCTGGTAGCCTCTCCTTCTGGCTCCACTCCAAGCACTTAGATTTGCGCTCATTCAATAGCTTATCCTCCAGGAGCTTGCCAAGGGACGCCATGAGCTCATGGGCTTCGGGAGGCCCACAGCTCATGAAGAGAGCCTTATCTTTCTCATATCTATGTCTTGTGCTGTCTTTGCTGGAATAAAACCACTGGGAAAATTGTTCTATCTTTTTTCTGAAGTAACTTTCAGAAGGGTGTGACTTCTTGTCTGATTTCCCTTTAACGGGTTGGCTCTTCTTTCCTGCTTTGGGCGCCCCTAATCCTGTGTCACTTGTACCATGTTCTTTTCTGCATTCTGGTAAGGCCAGTCTTTTCTCAGCTGGTGTGAGATTCTTTAAGAGGTGTTTGAAGACCCTGGGCTTCTGCGCTGGATCTGCATTGATCCTGGTGTTATGGAGGTAGACATAAGTATCCTTGAACATCGAGCCATCCGCACTACACACGCTGTTGGAGAAAGACTGTGAGTAATCAGTCATGCTGTCTGAAGCAATGGATTCATCACTTTCATAGCCTTCAGTCTGGCTCTGCAGCTGATTCTCCAACTTAGGGTTCGGCTCCTCACACGACTGTCTCTCAGAGTCCGACACCATTGGCTCTTCCAGAACTGACATCCCTGACGAGTTTTCCAACACAGAGACTGTTTTATTCCTATCTCCATTGCCCTCTATGGAGCTTTCCAACTGGTTAGCACTAGATCCCGATAGGAGAACACTCACCTCCTGAGCCATGAAGATTTTTCTGAACATTTTCGGTGTTGAGAGATGGTTTGGACTCTTTCCCACCCTCTGTTTGTCTTCCATGATTTCTATATGAGAAGAAATTGCCACCTCACTCTCTGGTTTGGGTCCAGCCACTTCTTCCTTTGTGGGCTGCTCCTGTGTGGGCCTGCTTTGTAGTGTCGCATCATTCTGACTCACGCTGTCCAGCTTGCTGGGTCTGTCATCCTCCTTTGTCTGGACCGGCTCTGTAACCTTAGAGATGGCTTTACGGTGTGATGGTCCCAGGGGCTCCTCTCTTTTGCTGTCTACAGGTGAGACAGCGAGAGGATATATGATGGCGGCTAAGTTTGCTGTTTCCATCTTGTCTCCATGGGGAAGGTTAGAGCTTCCACTGAGGGGATTGGGGAGGTTACTTTTCAAATCCATTCCAGGAATACTGTTTGAAGACAATGGGAAATCAGACTGAGGAAGGGGCCATCTTTTGGTTTCTCTCAAAATATAGAACTTTATGGATTCAGTGACCTTGAGGGGGAGGCCCCACTTCTGGCTCACTCGGAACCTTATGAGATGGGCTTCCAGCATCTTCTGGGTCTTGTGGTCAAGAAGAGGGATTTTGGGAGTGGCAGTGTCGCAGTAAGTGTTTCCCAGTGTCGAGTTCCAGGGAGGCACATCCAGAGCTAGCCATGAGCAACACACGCTGATAGGGATCCGACCCCTGGTGATCTGCCAGAACTTTCGGCTCACGTGGAGCCTGAGGATGCTCCTCGCTTGCTGCTGGTCCAAGTTCTTCCTAAAGATGCTGAGTCGTTCGATTTCCAAGCCAGTCCTTGAGTGGCACACCCATTTCCCCTCTGCCTCAGGGGTGGCACTCAGGCTGTTGAGCACATAGCACCCTGAGATCATCTGCGCAGCATCCAGTGGGCATTTCCCTAGGATTTGGCCAACGTTCTTGGCTACGTCCTTTCTTAGCTGAGGCTTCATCGAGACCCTCTCACAGAAACATTCCGAGTGACTCATTTCTCCGGTCCTGAGGTCGGTCCTGAGGTTGGTGTGGCCCCAGTGCACAGAGTGTGGAGGCTTAGCACATTGGTAGCCGTGGGAAGCTGCTCCTGTTGGTATGAACTGTGGGTCTACCACTTCCGGTACTTCTGTCCTATTGTAAGGCTGGAAGCATGAGGGTGGGATTGGGTTGTTTGGCCCACAGGGCTCCAGGTTGTTCTGAAGCTCACTGCTGAAATGAAAATGGTCAGTCCCGGGGATGGAGGTGCAGCTCTGCCAAGGCTGGCAGCCCAGTAGAAAGCTGGGAACTAGAAGGCCAAAGGAGGTTTCATAATGTTGGCATTCAGGGACCAAACCCCACAAGCTATCTTGATGATTCTGCAACAGGTGGCACTGCAGGTGTTCATTTCCATTCAAGACATCAGAGATAGTCCCGTTCTGTGGTATTTGGCAGGTACTTCCACAGGGTAGAGATGGTGGTGGCATGGAAGAGAGTGAGGATTGCATGCATGCCTGAGTATGGACCCGAGTGAAAGCCAGAATCTGTGGCTGGGGCTTGATGGGCTGAGGATGTACAAGGTTGAGGGACAAGGTACTAGACTGGGGAAAGGCTGGAGCTCTGTGGTCCAGAACTGGGGCTGTAGCAGCTGTACAGACCCCATTGAAGAGTACAAGATGAGGTTCTAATGAGTATCTGCCCAGGGGGACCAGTACGGTGGCCACAATGGACTCGCTGTGGAGAGAGGGGAGACCCCAGAAGAGCTGGCTGTGTTTCTGCCCGAGGTTGTCTCCCAGAATCTTCATACACAGGAGCTGGTCAGAAACCCCAAACTTCCCTGGTTTCCCTTTGAGCTTCAAGCCAATTTTTGGCACTGGGGTGCCCTGATCAATGATTGTAGGATCCAGCAGGTTCCATGGGGCTGTGAATTGATATTTTGAGCTCTTGGGGTCTGAAGATGTCTCATCCTCCTTTTTCATCTTCTCCAGAGTCTGGACAGTCGCTCTCTTTTTCATTTGTTTCTTCAAGAGTTCCTGTATGAGGAGAACAAGGAAAGAAATAGGGCCCGACCCTGTTTGTGAAACATTCCACCATCTTCCATCCAGGGCTACCTCCTCCTGCTGAGAGCCACAGGGCGGCCATCTCACAAGGCCTGTGTTCTAGTGAGGACTGCCACATCCAAATAAGAGATGAGCTGCCTACTGGAGACAGAGTGCTCTGAGCAGATAACAGGAATTTTGTTTTTTTGAGTGTGAAGCACTTTCAGCAAGGAAGGGTGCGCAGCTGGGAATGGTCACTATAGGAATTTCAAATCCAAGGGCGGGGGGGGGGGGCAGGGAGTGTCAGAGAGCTACCCAGTGAGAATGAGGGGGACAGGATGGAGGGGAAGGTGGGGAAAAGCTCAGACAGAGGGGCTAGCATTGGGTTTCCAAGATGGTCCAGGAAGGTTGAGAACAGCTACAAGGACTTCAGAAGCCAAAGGGACCAGAGATGGAGCAGTATGTCCTGCTGAGGCCAGGCACTGCAGCTGGCTGACCTCAGCAGGACCCAGCAAACAGCAAACAGCTGCTATCATGATCCCTACCCATGGGACTTCAGAAAGCAAGGTACAAGGAACAGGACCTCAGCCTGACGCCTGCCATGGGCTGTCACATCTCTGACCTAAAAGAAACCCGTTTCTGCAAAGCTCCCAGCCACGCGTGCTTCTCGGCGACTATCCTTCCCAAGGCTCTTGCATGCTGTGCAGAGAACTTAGGGTGCACAGACCATGCTACAAAGGGAACAAGGAAAAATACTTGAATTTTCCAGAACAGACAACTTCTTCCCTCTTTCTGATTCTCTCTGGAAACTTCTCCAGCCTGAAAAACAAGAACAGTAGTTCATATGTGAGTGTTAACCTCAAATGTCAATTTGATGGGATTTACAATCCTTAGAAACAAATCCCTGGGCATGTCTGTGAGGCATGTTCTAGGTGATGTTACTGAGATGGGAAACCACACTAAATGGCAGCACTGACTGATGGGTTGGAGTCCTGGACTGCACACAAAGGAGAAAAAAGGCTGAGTACCCTCATATATCACCTGACTGCAGATACAATGTAGTGAGCTGCCTCAAGCTCCTGTTGCCTCTGGCTTCCCCAGAACAAAGTAACCTTGAACTATAAACCAAACAAACTCTTCCTTCTTCAAGTAGCCTCCATCAGGGTATTGCTGTGAGGTGGCAGTAAAAGTAACTAATACCGAAATGAAAGTGCAGACACAGGATTCTACAAGAGTCCTTTTATGGGAAACAGAAGATGCTGAGCGCTCAGGAGCAAGGCGCTTCACCCATCACACCAACTGCTTCATACCATTTCCGTCTTAGTTACTTTTCTGTTGCTGTGATAGAACGCCATGACCAAAGCAGCTTACAGAAGAGAGAATGTATTTGGGTTTACAGTCCCAGAGGGTTAAGAAGGCCTTGTGACAAGACTCCTGGCAGCAGGCCAACAGATATGGCAGCAGGAACAGCTGAGAACTCACATCTCAAGCAGGAAGCAGAGGGAGCAAACTTGAAATAGCACTTGGTTGAGCTCTCACAGCAGGGCCACAGTGAGATGCTCTCCCTCCAAGCAAGGCCACACCTCCTAAGTCTCCCCCAAAGCAGCACCACCCACTGGGGCCCAAGCATTCAAATGCTGGAGACTACGGGACACCTCACTCAAACCACAAGAGCCAAGGCTCTGAGGCGTGCGACTCTTAGGCCTTTTCCCCTAAGAGGAACTGTGTCTGGCAAATGACATCATCAGAACATGGCCCATGTCCTCAGGCGGGGTGCTCCTTGAGGGCTCAGGTTGAATGGAGAGAACTTTGGCTTCAAATGTTACCCACTGGTGGTCTTCTCTTGATTCTTCCCTGATACTAAGAATATAACAATGAGGGTAATATTAACTTCTCTTGCTTCTCTTGGACATGTTATTCAAGAATAGTGACTGCAAATAACAGTTTCCCTCCACTTCCTAACTTCAAAAGAGTCATTCTTACTTGTTCCTTCTTTGGGAAATGAAGGAGGAGATTGTGAGGTCCACAGTCGATCCTCTCAGCCCCAGTCTTCTACTCTAGGCCTAGACTCAGGCCGGCAGCCAGAGCTCAGCACCTTGGAAGGCACCATGCCTTAGGGACAAAGCTCAGGCTTCACATTTTGCTCAAAGGCCCTTAGGGCTTTCTACTGCTGCAAAGGAAAGGCCTGGTGAAGGGCTTTGAGAGGTGGAACGGGGCAAATGGAGTGTCAGGAGACACTGCTCTTCAGAGAATCCACCACGTGAGACTAAGTCAATGAGATTCGGAATCAGTGCTTGGTCCTAGACTGTGGACTTTCAGTTACACTCAGAGAGGTGGACTGTGGGTCCAGATGAAAACCTTGGTCCTCCTTGAATCCAGGTCTCATGCCCTAGGGAAGCAGTGTTCTCTTCTCTCCTCAGCATCCCCTTTCAGGCATCTCTGTGAGACAAACTCTTTAAACTCACCCAATGACATGAGAATAGAAATGGAACACGTCAACAAAGACTCTCTCTAGGGAGCTCACTATACTACCTCACCATATTACCTCACCTTTTTGAGGCCTTGGCTTTCCCACAGTGATAAAATGAAGTCAGCATCAGGCGTGATAGGCACAGGAGAAGCAGCCTCTGCACTCGGAAAGGGGCCGTGGGTCAGTGTCCAAGATGACTGAGCCAAAGCTCAACCATGGCTCAGGAGCGCTGTTCAGGAAGGTGAAATCCTTCTGTACAGTGGGACTCACATAGCTGCCTGAGGCAGCTGAGATCTGAGGCTGCCTCAGTGGGCCTCACCATAAGTGCCAGGTCTGCATCACAGAGCAGGGAGAGTCATAGAGGGTTTGTGAGGGTGGGGAGAGGGGTTTGTGGGGCTGGGGAGGAGGGTGAGCCCTCGACATCTCCCCACCCTCCTAAGTCCTAGTGGAGCCCTCTGCCAGAGCCTGCTGCGTCTTGTTGCACAAGGAACTTTCCCATTTGTTCTCTTTGTGGCTGGCCCTTCATCTCAAGTCCCCCCTGTGTTTTTGCAGCTCTCAGTTTAGATACAGCTAATTTTACTGCCTTGGAAGTCCAGCAGCCTACCCGTAATTCTTGCTTTTGTCTGCATTTTTAGTCTCAATGGCACAAATATCCTCCAGTACACATCATCTATAGAATGGTTTTCTTTTCACTCAGACTAGGTGGTGATGTTTCTAGTACTTTCTGGTACTTCTCTCTTTCTTCCTCCTTTTTCTCCTCCTCCTCCTTCCAATGTGTGAGTCACAGTAGGCAGTAAATCTCTTAAAAGAGATTTATTGGTGGGATGAATCCAGTAGAGGAGGGACATATCCAGAAGTGGCTGCCTTTGCTTCTAGAAGAAGGGAACTAGGCAGACACAGCCTTTATATAGAATTTCTTAGGGGCTGGAGCTTTCTAGGGCAGAGATTACCAGAGTGAGGATTGGTGGGATTTCAAGTCCTGAGCTTGGGGGAGCTCAGGGATTGGTCGGTTCTCCTGCTGGGGTTGGGTGGGTGTTAGTGGGAAGCTCAGAGATTGGTCAGTTCTCCTGCTCAGAGATTGGTGGATTTTTTGTTGTTGTTGTTGTTGTTGAGACTTTTCATCTCAAATTTTCGTAATCTGGGATGAGATGACAGCTACAGAGGTCTGGGGGAGGAACTTCCTCAGGCAGGGGTCTGGCTGCTTTTCCACCTTGAGGGGTTATAAAGTCTACAGAGTCCAAAATTTAGAAAAAGTCATCTGTGAGGGCAGTAGGCTGAAGCAGGAAAGGTCATCATTATCATGGACGGCTCCCATAGCGGCTGTAGGCCTTCTGAGGTAGGAAAGGTGTTGGCTCCCATAGCAGCAGGCTGAATCAGGAAATTCACCATGCACAGTTCCCACTGAGGTGGTGGCAGGAGCTACCAATTTGCCTACCATCTCCACAGCCCCGAGGGGGAAAGGAGGAATTGGCAGCGTGCTGCTTGAAGTTTTAGTGACCTGCTGTCTAAGAGAGCTAGACATAGCTCTTGGTGTGTGTGTGTGTGTCAGCACTGTGTGTGAGGGGGCATGGCTTGGGGACAACAGGATGGCTTTCGGGCCTGCTCTCTCCACCACAACAGCTGCTTTGATTGCTGCTGCAGCGACAAAAGCCCTACCCAAGGAAGAAGAGTTCTTTTATGTATTTCTTTATTAATAAATGTTGACTAGAAAATTTTCATGTTCCTTTGTCCTTTTACATCTTTAATTAGGGATAAACTCAAATCGCCAAACCCAATTAATATAAAATATGCATTATACTAAATGCATACAATTACTTCTTCAGGCTTTCTTTGGTATAGTTTTTTTTTTTTTGGTATAGTTTTATTCCACTTATTTTTCTAAATTAGTGAAGCTTCAAGTAAACCAAGACAGTAAGTAATACATGTACATACACGTACACACACACATACACACACACACAGACACTTACTCTTACAAATCAGTGTACTGTTCTCATGTCTGAACAGAGACAGTCTTCCCTCTTCATTTCTCCTACATCATTCTTTTTTTGAGATTTACTTATTTATTATGTAGATGAGTGCTCTATCCAAATGTACACCTGCATGCCATAAGAGTGCATCAGATCTCATTGTGGATGGTTGTGAGCCACCATGTGGTTGCTGGGAATTGAACTCAGGACCTCTGGGAAAGGAGACGGTGCTCTTAACCACTGAGCCATCTCTCCAGCCCTCCTACATCATTCTTTTGTCCCCAATTTCTCCCAGCTCTACCTGCAGTCTGACCGTCCCTGGCCATTATCAGTGACTGCACCGGCATTCCATGACTTGCTCATAGGGCTGATTCGCAACTGGCTCTTCCAGTGAGTTCCCGAGTCCTTGGTAACAGAGTGGGACCCAGGACTATCAAAGCCAGGGAAGAACCTGGGTTGAGGAATCTCGCTGATTATCCCTGAAGTATACTTGCTATAATCGCCTGGTAATGTCCCCCCAAACCTAAGAGTCTGTCACATGTTATACAAACAGC